AACGATTTTTTTTTTTGTTGTGAAAGATTGTATAACCAGTCTGCGTATTTCATCACTGCACAAGGGTATGCTAGGTAATAATCGAATTCGACATGTACGAGCCGACAATGTGAGCCACGGGAGTAATATTAATATTCTTGAGTGCGTGGTTGAGAAACTAGTATGAGTATTCTAACTATTAATTGTTATGTTTGACAAAAGGTAGAGGGAACCTTAAAAGATGTTTATGCGGTAAAAAAGGAAGTGTAATGAGGACTTTTGAAAAGTTTTTTGAAATGTTAAATGCGATGTTTTGAAGTTTAAAGAATATCCAGTCTTGACTAATCCGTGATTTAAATTTTGACCAAATAATCGTGACTCATAATGATTTTATACCAATATCAGAGACTTCAAATAAGTACCTATTCAACACCCACAACAAAAAAAGAGAAATCAATAGGGAAAGTTACAACGCATCATCTTGACAGTATTTGCCTGCCAAGTGCTGTATTTCTCCCTGTACAACGCGCCCGTCTTGCTACTTGGTCTCTGCTCTCGTGCCGACCCCCGCGCTAAGCAGGCGCTGGCCCACCTCTACTGTGCTCCGGCTATTATCATCCTATGTCACCCCCCATACCCCCCCGCAAAATTATCCTCTCTCTTCTCTGTGACCAGAGAGGCTTAATAGTGGTTTGATTACTGGATGAGGAGCACCGAGGTGCCACAGAGTGAACAGAGTTGGCTGATTTGAGGGTGGGACGTGGCCGGCCTAGCAGGGAGAGTGAGAGAGGGTAGGAAAGATGTGGAAAATTACGTGGCAGTAGCAGCAAGACGGATTAATGATTTGACAAGTGCATGAAAGATTTACTGTATCTGCCCTTCGACAGCAGACGCTGGAGCCAGCCTACGTAGTAGAACGGTGCTCCGCTGTCTGACCACTGTGTGATGGATGAGGGTGCTTGATCATTTATAAACGATGGATATCACAGTCTTTATTCAGCGTTCTCCTCTCCACCCACGGAACCAAAAGACTCCCAGCCTGAGACCAACGTACAGAGCCAGCCTTCTTGAATGATTTAATCAAGTCTGTTGTCGTTCGCTGGATCTCTGATGCTGCTGCCCCAAACATCACAGCAGCAAAGAAAATGCGCCCGGCAACACATCAGACTGGTCAGAAACTCCAACATCTTGCTGCACACGTTGAAGGATCTCAGCTTCCCAGGAACCCACTAGAGCTGCTCAAATCCCCTTCTTGTACACACCTGTTTAGATTTCCAGTCCAGATCGGTGTCGATCACCACTCCCAACTATCCGTACCTCTCACCTCCTCCACCACCTCACCCCTTGATCCGTAAAAGTTGAAGACTTTGTGAAGGCACCTCTTCTTCCCCCCCAAATGTCGAATCACCATCCCTGGTCTTGTGTGACATTCAGCCCTCAGGTCCGATTCTGTTCGGAACCACTCTACAAAGTTTCCTTACCCAGTGTCCTGTACTCACTCCTCATCCTCCCCCTCTTTATAACATCCGGCAACCAGCTGAGTCGTCAACAAACCTTCTGCAGGTGAGATGACCAGAGTTGTACTGAAAGTCAGTGGTGTATAAGGTGAACGAGAAGGAGAAAGCACAGTTTCCCCGTAGGAGCTCCTGTATCACTGACCACCACGTCTAGTACACCGGACATCTGCCCAGACGCCCGACAAACTGTGGCCTGCCTGCAATAGTCAGATAATCCAGGAGATTCATAGTTCGTCAACACCCACCCACCCACAGCCTTCTCCACCCACTAGCTATAGGCTGAAGGTGTTAAAGGCCAACGGACATATATCAAAAGAATGTGATCCTCACAGTGCCCCCCACCATCCAGATCGCAATGGGTTCATTGCAGCACGGTAGATGACAGGCATCATCGACTCCTAAATCTGCCGGGCCCTGATAGGCAAACTGCAAAAGCGTCCAGAAACTCCTCAAACCTGTGGCCTCCAGCTGGGCAAGACCAAGTCTCTCCAGGACCCTTCATCACATGCGATGTTAGGCGCGACTGCTCTGTAGTCTGCGTCGGATTGATGCCTCGACTTCTTGGGGACTGGAACCAACAGAGGTTTCCATAAGCAACGGACTGGGCCGTTTGTGTAGATGTCATCTCAGTGGAGAAGGAGGAAGGGGTGGGGAGAAGGAGGGGGCAGATGGAAGAGGTGCTGATACAAGCGGAACTCATTGAGGTGGGCGAGCCATTTCGAGACAGTGTAGCTTGTGGGGGCTGGGTGTTCGGAGGGGTAGCAGAGGTGAGCCGAAACCTGTTTGAAAAAACGGTTTATACTGGTTAGCCTAATCCTAGGCTCCCAGATGTCTGC